TGTCTGTTTGTGAAACAGATGATGGACAATTTGTTGATGCATGGAAGTTATTAAGAACAACACGATTTAAACAAGGAGGGATTAAATTAGAGTTTTTGAGTGTTGACAAAGAAGGAAACCTTGTTAAAGGAGAAGAAGTTACAATGGATAATCTTATTCATAAAAATAAGTGAATTAATTCTACTTATCATTTAATTTTATTAAGTTTTATATGCCGTAAAAATTATTGATAAGACAAACCTCATAAAGACTGAAAAATACCAAATGTCGTGTTGTTCAAATATCCTTGGGATGTTCTCTTTTGTGCTTTTTAATAATTTTGGTGAAATGCAACATATTGAAGAACAAGAAAGAGAAACAATTGGGTATGAAAATAACTATATCATTAAAGTTCCAGAAAATGAGAAAGAGTTTATTGAAGAGTATGACAATCTCATCAAAGAGATTGACACCCAAAGACAGAATAACGAAGAATGTCTTGCAAAAGAATGAAAATACTACGAAATACTTCAAAGAGACACTGAAATATATAAATTGGTTGTTAAAAAAAGCGAGAATCAAAACATCGAAACAGGAAAACTAAAGAACCAGATAATAGATAGAATGATCAATGTTAAAGAGAAAAAATTAAGAGAACTAGTCACAGATGAAAAGACACAAAGCAAAATGAAAGAGACATTATCAACCAATTTTGAAATAATGAAGAAAAACCGAGAAGGAATGAAAGTTGCTGGATTAAATGAAATTAGGATAATAATAAAATACCCATTCAAGACGAATATTTCATTAAAGTACTTGGTATCTTTACTATTTCACAAGTAAAACGCCTTGTGAAATCTATAACAGGAATTCCTTTGGAGCAACAAAGATTTCTCTATGTTAGAAAGCAACTTGAAGATCAAAACACATTATTAGATTGTGGAACAACAAATAAATCATTTATTCATTTAGCTTTGAGGATAAGAGGAGGTAAACCAGTGATTTTATTGTATGACAACGAAAAGAAGAAAATGAAGCAATGGGTGTGAATATCAAATTTAATGAAGCCATGAACATCGAAGCAACATATCCAGAAATTAAAACAACAGAAGAAAGTGAGAAAATAAAAGAGTATGAATGGAAAGGAACATATAATAGTGATGGAGAAAATAATTGTAAACTAACTGTTGATAGAAAGGAGGTTGAATATTTGTTTTGGGAAGATGTTTGTTTAAAAGAATCTAAGTTTGAAGAACAACAAATTGGAATTAATCAACAACACTTTGAGACGAATTAGATGAGTTATTAAAACGTCTTGGATTGAATGAGCGAGAAATAAATGACTTTATTGTTTATGGATCTCAAAGTTAGACAAAAGAAAGAACCATTTTGTCACTATTTGTGATTCATGATTTGATAAAGTAATTGCACCATTAACAGTCAATGGGTTTGAGCAAATTCATTGAGTTATGTTGAAATTTGAAGAAATTGAAAACTTATGTTGATTAAAAAGAGTGGAGAGTGTTGAAAAACGATAAAGACCAACTAGAAAGTATGTGATAGAATATGTAGTAATTTTAGCATGGTTCTTAATTAACTCATTCTTCTTTCAAGACATTTTTGACACTACAATGAAAGTATTTCATGTTATAAACGTATCTATCTTATCATGAAGAAACACTGTAATTTAATTATAACAAATATGAAAACAATTAAAATATACTTTCTATCCATTTTCTTGATATTCACAACACTTTAATATACAACATATCTTTTATTTATATTTTTTTAAATATCCTGACTACCATTTATTTGTGTCTTAATGCTAAGTATATTTTTAAGACATTGTTGAATCATCGAATAATTCTAAACACATTACATACAACCTATTACTAATGAATTTGATTCTCATTCCACTTTGACTATCAACAACTAGTTATGAGAAACAAAATACTCTATCAAACCAATGTCATTGAATCTAGAAACTATTCCATTCAACAACACAAACAATATGGATTTTATGTTATATCAAATGAGAGATGGGAATAAATTTTCCATTATTATTAGAAATTGATTATTATGAAAAGAAAATAATAACTCACAAACAAGATGAAAGGAAGATGAACTAAATGATGTTCATACAAGTATAACTCATAAACATAAGAAAATAAGAGATTCAACACTTTTATTCATAA